GCCCCAGGACGCAGCTCAGGGTCGAGGAGCCCTCCACTTCGTAGCCCCCATGGCAGTAGTAGGTAATGGAGGAGCCCAGCTTGAGGTCAGATCCCACGCGTGTGCCGTTCTTGACTGAACCAGGATCAAAACAGGACTCTCGTGGGTTTTCTGAAAAAAGGAAAAATAAGCACATACACACACGCAGGACTCATCAGTGGCCGGATACCACGGCGCGGCCCCCGTAAGGAAACCCTGACTAACTGGCCAGAGCACACGGGGCCTGCGGATTGCTGGCCCTGTTCCCTGCCCGTCCGAAATTTCTCTAAAGGTGGCTAGAAATCGAGGGCTGCAAATCGTCTTGGAGAGTGAAACTTCACCTCCTCGCCCACGTTGTGCCCTGAGCCACGAAGGAGGGAGCTGCAGGTGCACCTCTGTGCACTTCTCGTCCCTTAGCCCGCTCTCCCGGGCAGGAGCCTGGGGTTCCGGATCATATCCCAGCAGCGGACAGGGTGGCACGGTGACGGTCAGCGCTTAGGCAGAGCCCCACCTTTGCTCATCTCTGATGCCCTCAGCACGCCGGCTCCTCAGCCTCTGTCCCTGTGCGGGAGGCAGGGCCTGCTTTTGGAGACTCTTTCTTCTCTTTTCTTCCTTTTGCCTACAACTGTGCTGCTGGCTGGGGAGGTGGGGCTGGCCTGGCTTTGCAGGCTGTCATATCCACACCTTGCAGGCACTTCTGAGGGCCCGGGTACCAATACTTAGATTTCGCAAGAAAGTAGAAAACCTACTTTAGGCTCTGGGATAAATCTATGTCTCCAACACCGTTTTCCAGGGCTTTGCATTGGGGCACTGGGTGCTGGCTAGTTCATTAGAACAGCAGTATTTTCCCATTTGGCTACTCTGCTCATAGGTCTTCCCAATCAGGCACACCACGGACGTGCCCAACAGGCACCCCCCCTGTCTCTCTGCACTGGACCCGAGTGAACCTGATGTTGCCTGAGCAATTACAGGACTAGTCAGGGCCCTGAATCTCCACAGCCTCCACCGTCAGCTGGAAATCCCGAGCCACATTCACGTCCATGCGCTGCTTCCTCTACTCACCGGCCTGTTCCAGGACCACTGATGGGGAAGCGCCCCGTCATCAGGGAAATGCAACTGAATGTCAGGGTTCCACTGGAGTCCTGGAGGCTATGCTACTAAGAGGTCTAGAGATGGAGGCTCACAAAGAGGTGCCGACAGCCCTCGCAGGAGGACTCAGAAACTCAGAGAGCAGATTTAAGGAGAAAAGAGCCAGAATAAAAGGGATCAGAGTTCAGACATGAATGGCTCAGGAGGAAATTTGCTGATGGCTGTCATTGTCACCTGGGTGCCTTTCAAGCAACCTATACAAGAGGCAGTCATGGCTTGAGAGTGTATCATTTAGCTGCCAATCAGCCTGTTGACTGATGGAATGGGGCTCTCAGGGCCGATGATCCTGCTGAGTCCAGCCACTCTTGCACCGGAGCCCTTATGGGGGCCTTGCTCTTGGCCTTTGCCCACATCAGGGGTGAAGCAGTCCCAGATATACCAGTAAATTCACACTCAAGTAGGACCTAGAAAATAATCTCTCGCCTAGTAGAGAGACCCTCAGTGGTTTCTCTGGTGCCCTGTGATGTGTCCCCTTGACCCACACCAAATCTGTCCTCCCCCTAAACTTGGTGGCTCTGGCAAGAATGCAACTGGCCACTGGGTGACTCATATGTGAATCACAGAGATACAGAGAACTGTCACCACATCTTATATTTCATCTGTCCATCTTATTCATTTAAAGTGGGCCAAATCTTATTTGAAGTTCAGAGAAATTAAGCAACTTGGGACCAAATTCACATCGCTCATTAGAGGTAAAACTAAGTGTTGCATCTAATATCCATTCTCTACCTTCGTCCTTAAATAAAGGAAGCCAGGTTTTATGCAGGGTATCAAAGCACCGGCTCAAATCTACACCTTCCAGCCTCCTGAGCAGCTAGACCTGTCCAAAGAGATATAACACTCAGGTCAAAGAACACCCTACTGTCTCACTGAGGGTAAGGGCCAAAATCCTTCTAGGCTAGAAGGCCCTGCATATTCTGCCTCCAACCTTCCCCTCTGTGACCTCAACCCCTATTGTTCTGCTGCTAACTTTGCTCCAATCACACTGGCCTCTGCGTACAGACGTCCCCCCACCTGCACGGCTCCTTCTCTCACCTCTGAGGATTAACTCCATGTCTGAATTTGGCTGGAAATCCAGGGCTGGAAATCATCTCGGAGAGCAACACCTTCCGGACCCGCTATTTAAAATTTCAATATTCCTTTCCCCACATTCCCCATCACCCTTCTCTGCTGTTTCCCTTTGCACCGAGATCAACACTGCCTCATGTATTATATATTTTCCTTATATTTCTCTCTCTCTCCACTAGGATGTAGGTTTCATGAGGACAGTTTTGCTCACTGCTCTCGTCCAGGCGCTCAGTACATATTTCTTAAATGGTTAAGTGTGGAATTTCTAGAAAGGCTGCTTAAGGGAAGGTGACAGCTGAGGGGATGCTCCTTGGTCCTTCCCTCTCTCTTTCTTTCCTCCCTCCCTCCGCCTGGAACTCAGGCATCGTGGCTGCAACTCCAGTGGCATCTTGGATCCTGAGATGACCTTGGGGGTGGGGGCCATCCACTAGCATGGTAGACCAGAAAGACGCCAGGAACCTAGGCGGAGCCCCTGCACTAGCCCCGGATGACAGTCCTGTCTCCCTTCAGAGGAAGGGGAATGAAGTTCTACCGCGTACCGGCAGCTGCGCCGTGGGCGACACCGCGCTGGCACCGGGCCCCAGGACTCCCCGCGATGTCAGGGAGTCCTTTCCGCCCTCCTACACTTTCCAGTGCCACCCTCTCATGAGCAAGTGTCTCAACTTTGCCTTCTCTCTGGCAGCATTCCGCTTTTCTTCTCCTGACTACAGCACGCATGGCATTATCTTGCAGTCTGGGTAAGGGTATTTCTTTTCAGTGGGTTCTGAACTCACAGAGGACAGAGACCATCACCTATTCTTCTCTTAATCCCGACAACCAGCACAGAACCTGGCCTTAGGGCTAGCCGTATCCGACACATAGTAGAGGCTCACTAGATGGACGCTAGATTGATTGGCTGAACACCTCAGGGCTTGGAAAAACCAACAACCACACCAACGATCTGAACTGTAGACTCTGTTCTATAGTCACTCACATGTCAGAGCAACAAGAGCTCATCCTTCCAGCATTATCACCATTAGTAATAATGGTCAGGATAATGGTAATGATGATAGCCTCTGACATAGGAATAGTACTTGGTAATTTTCGAAGCACTCTCCAATCTGTTACCTCATTTGTACATCGCAGTGGCCTCTGCAGCAGGCAGGACCAGGTACACTCCTGCCCAGGTTAGAGATGGGGAGTGTGGTGATCAGACAGGCTAAAGAAGCTTTCAAGTCATTCAGCTATTAAGAGGTAGAATTAAGACCAGAATTTGGTCTTAAGCTGTGAATGATAAAACGAAATGACTAAAAAATCATAATAAATAAAACCCAGGCCCTCCAAAAAGGGAAAATTAAAGGAACCAGTTTCTTTTTGTCCTAATAGTTAAGGGACGTTTCAAAACATGGTAATAGCAGCCCCCCCCCCCCAAA